ACTGAGGAGGTGGCAAGAGCAAACAATTCGACCAACAAAATTTGTCAAACAAACTGAAAATCGGTGCTCATATATCAATCAAAAGAAAATAAACCAATAAAAAAATTTTTAATAAATAGATGAGCAATGCTCGTATATATTTCATCACATTGTTTCTACTAATTAAATAGAACAAATAAGGATGTTGCTAACTTATCTACCATCTAAAGTTCATATGTGCATCAAGGAATATGCAATTCTATTTATAAGAGTCTTAGATAAACTAAAAAAAGAAAGCATTGCTCGACATTCTCCCCCCAAAATATTACTCCATACTGAGGAGAAGGCAAGTGCAAACAATTCGACTAACAACATGTGTTAGAAAATGTGAAAACCATTCATTTACTTATCTAAAGAAAATAAACCAACAAAAAAAATTAAAATAAACAGACGAGCATTGCTCATATAAGTTTCCCCGCATCGCTTCCACTGATTGTTCAGAACAGGTAAAGATGTTGTTTCCGTTCATTTTTCTCTTTTTTATTTTAAAAGGAGTCGTCAGCTTGTCGATTGTCGTACACTTTTTTCATTTTAATAAATCTCCCTCTCGAATCATATCAGTGATTCGAAGAAAATAGGAACTGAATAAGAAGGGACATACGACAAATAGACAAACAAGAGAAAAAGTAAAATGTGGTGAGTCTACGTGTGATAAACCTCGGAATGATAAGTCAAGATTGACCGCCCGAACAAGATCGGGTCGAGACACCTTAAACCATTATCCACAAAAGAAGTATCTACGTAGACTACCCATAACCAGAGAGTCAGGTGTATGTATCTATTATGGGGTCAAGAGCACTCCCAAAGGAACGTGTTCCTACTAGTTAATTACATTTTTTGGGTTACCCAAGAATATTCTCAATAAAAGGAGTTTCGTTTTATATTATCATAGACCTGGGGTATATGCAATCAAAGGAAGGTTATTCTGTGTGAAAACAGTCCCGATGCTTTAAAGCTCACGCTAAATCATCAGGCAAAGAGTGTGTCTCTCACTTCTCGAATGGGTAGTTGTTCATCGGCACACAGGACCCACAGAATAATCATAATCATATTGACGAGGATATCCAAACACGTCAAAGCACGTTCGGACCATAAGGACATAGGATAAATCTTCGTATCTCAAATGAGCGGCAGCTCATTGGCCTCAGTCCATCAAAATGATATTGTCGAATTCAAATGAACGATGGGGCTCAAAGGGGCTCAACGAAAGGAAGGTAGAGTGATCCTAAAAGGTAGAGGTAACTGGGTCGGGGTACCACAAACCCGTCATACACAGTTACTAGCACCATAAGTCTACTTAGTCGTGAAGGTAGTCGACCCAACGCGTCCTGAGGTTCCCGGTCTGCAATTCGTGAATTGCGTCGTCCACGGGAAGCGGGATCCTGGGTAGCCCTAAGGTCAAAGGAAGGAAACTTTATCCTATGACTATAAGTTGGAGTGGCGAGGATGCCTCCAGAAAGAACATAAAGGAAGGTTCAGCTACAAAGCTGGAAATGCTCCAAACAAAAAAGGACTTACACCCCCTTTGGTTCGGGGAGCATTCTAACACCCTAGGCGCACTAGACAACTGCCTATATAAAGGTATACTGGGCCGGTCGGGTTGGAGAAGCATGGGGACTCCTTCTCGGGACATGCAAATATGAATGCAGTTATTTAGAGCGGCCCTTAAATATTGTGGAGACCCTATTAATATATGTAGGAAAGTAAAAGTGAAATTTTTAAATTCTAACTATTTTAGCCCTAAATTTTAATTATCTTAAATATTTTATTTTGGATTTTTAAGTATAAAAATTAAAAATTTAAGTCCTAATCAGCCTATGTGACATCGTGAAATCCCAAATCACAGAAATAAACAAGGAAAACAATTAAGGCAAGCGTAGGCATGAAACATGATGCAAAAAGCAAAACAAGCCAAATAAAATAATAAAAGGCCGGTGTTGTTAGGTTGACAACATATCCCGGAAAAGAAAAAGAGCTGCAGGACTCCGCATATTCATGTCCGGTCCTAATTTTATGCATCAATATAAAAATTCAGAATTAAGATACGGGGCATGAGCATCTGTTCATGATCTCCTCCACGTGGTTCTCATACCGATGCACCATACTGGCCCCATCCTAAAGATCTGAAGGATCTCAAGGGTGTCAGGAAGAGCGGTGACACAAGTTAGATCTATTAAATTTTTAGCACATTCATAGTCGTGTCAATCCTGATGACTTAGCTCGCATTGTTCACCGAGGTCAACCCAGCAAGTATTGTTTGTTAAGGCGTCGCAGCCAACACGAGGTCACTCTCCTAACAAGTAGGACAAGCCATCGAGGAATGGGCAAAATAAACAGTCATGCAGAAAGCCCACATTGTGACTGCTCGACCGAAGTATAAGGTAATCACAACGGGCGCTCAAAAGAGTGAACACACACCATACAAATGAATGCAAGGATGCTACATGCAACATGACATGCACAAATAGGATGTATCGGTAAAACAGACTACCTATAAAGAGGAATTACACATGCCTGGGGACCCAGGGTGTCATGCAACTAGCAGACACCGGCTATAGGTGATTTTGCATTGAGTAAAAGGACACCTATAAAGAGGAATTACACCTTATCCGAGAGGCACTCACCGAGCATACATGCAAACATGCAGGATAAGCAACAAACATGTGATAAGTGCATCAAAGTGGTGAAGGCGAGTATGTCGTGACGGTAGTGACTCAAAAGGAGTGGGCATGTCGTAGCGACAGTGGTCCAAAAGATGAGTATGTCGAGGAGGTAGTGACCTGAGGATGGGCATACGGTGGCAGTAGTGACCCGAACAAAATGGTATGTCGAGGCGGTGACCTGGAGGATTGGCATACCTTAGCGGTAGTGGCTCGAAAAGAGGGTATATTGGTAAAGCAGTGACCCAAAGAAATGGGCATGCTATGGTGGTAGGGGTCTGAAAAGAAGGTATGCCGGTAAGACAATGACCCGAAGAAAGGCATGTCATGACGGCAGTGACCCGAACAAATGTGCATACTGTAGCGATAGTTGCGCGATGAATAATATTTGTTGACCCGGTGGACGGGCCAATTTGAGTCAGTTTCGCGCGTGACGCGACGAATAATATTTGTTGACCCGATTGGAGTCGTCCGACGAACAGAATGTTGATCGGCCTCCGCCTAAGCAAGAGTCAAAGCCTAGCAAAAATGACCCTAGCTACGCACCTCTCAGCACACGCCGAAAGGTCTGAAATGGATGTCTCGCGCTACGAGAATCAACACATGCATCAAGCAAAGTTTTATAGCGCTCGACCGGACATCCTACACTTGCGACATCAAAAATTGATGCCAACAACTGCTAACTTATCTATCATGCAAACTTCAAATGTGCAGCAAAGCATATGCAATTCTAGTTATAAAAATCTCAGCAAAAGAAAACTAAACAAACATAGCAGTGTTCAACATTCTCCACCTCAAAATGTTACTCCACAGTTATGATATTTAAATTAATAAACCTTTAAAAAACAGATGAACAAAAGGTCATATATTTTTCATTTCATAGCTTCTATTGCTTGATCAGGATTACGATATATGCTGCTAACTAATCTATCTTGTAAACTTCAACTTTGCATCAAAGCATATGTACTATGAGAAAAAAAAACAAATAGATGCTCAAAAATCCCCCCACAAAGTGTTCATCTACGCATATATATGGGAAAGAGCAATTTAATCGGCCATCAAACAACAATGGATACATATGTAGATCAAGAACACAAAAAAATCATAAAAGAAGCAATAAACACGGAAGTATACAACAAATGAACCGCAAAAACAAAAACTATATATGAGAAAACTTCACCGAAACGTTGCAGCAAGTCCTCAACGCCGAACGGAGGTAAGAGAGTGGAACCAGGTTTCAACCCTAATGATACGAGTGACAAATGAGGATAAAGGCGAGGGTATATACGAGAATAAGAAGTGTGATTAATAGAAATCCAAAGGGGCGGCGACGTCAAAGGCACCTCGCAACGAAGCTCCAACTGCGGAACACCCTCTCCCCCTTCTGTTTCGACATTCGACTTATTGCGTCCCACAACCAGCAAAACGCTCAAAATAAAAAGGTTCCCAAACGCAACTTCTTTTTGCAACGTAAAAGTCCCAAAAATGGGTCCTAAACGGGTCCTTAATTCATGAGCTATGGGTTTATTATTTTTATTATTTGTGAAAATTGACATGCATAGCACACAATTCGAGTACTTATGTATCTCACATAGGACTTTGATGGTCTTTTTGTTTGAGAAAAGTAAACGTTAATATGCGTGATTCAAACTGTTCGTAAAAAATGTGTAACAAATAATTGCATGTATTTTGATTTTTTTTCCCCAAAAAAAAAAAATGCATGCACTTTGATGTTTTAAATTTATACATTAAAAAAAGTATATTTTAGCTTTAAAATATATATTAAAGATCTTAGTTCATGTGTAAATATAAAATTTCAATTATGAGATATAAAAATACATAAAAATTGTGTGCAATGTATATAAGTCCATGCCACAATTTTTACCTATTTGACAAATTGAACTTAAAATTTCATATTTAAGTTCATAACATCCTGAGGCCATATATTTATACATTAAAAATGAATTATTTTAAAAAAAGTATATAATAATAATATTTTTATGTAATATTATACATTTTAAGTACTATAATGTGAGTATGAAAATTTAAGTTATATATAAACCACCGAAAAAAAGTGTTTCATCCAGAGTCTGGATGTAGAATTACAATCATACAGTACAATATGACCATACTCGAGGTTTTTCTTCAGTACAATCTTGTTGTATTAAATAAAAAAAAATATCCAAATAAATAATTCAATGTGAAAGTAAGTCATAATGTACAACATTATTGCATTAAAGAAAAACTTCAAGTACAATCATATTGTACACCATGATCGAGTCGAGCTTTAAGTTTCTCCGCTTTTTAGATAAAGACATACAATAAATTTTAATCAAAATTCAAACATAACTCTACATTAGTACTCCACTCCGAACGAAAAATATTTTCTAACACGAGAAACCGACCCATTATTTCCAAAACTATTTTAAAAATTTTAAATAAAACAAAACCAAACCAAACCAAACCAAACCAAACCAACAACAAGAATCCAGCCTTCACCTTCCCTCCGATCCCTCAAAAGCTCGCTTCTTCAACGAAGTCAGCTTCACCGCCGATCCCAACGCCGACGAACTCACCTCAATCTCAAACGAATCATACCTTAAAAACAGCTCAATGACGAGCAATCTCGCCACCAACACGACGAAATCCTTCCCGGCACACTGCTTGTTCTCCACCGTCGGCCCCTCCGTCTCTGGCCCGTTCGACCACACCACATACCTCAACAACCGCTCCCCTTCCCCTCCAACGAACCGATCTCCGACGAACTCCTCCGCCCGATCAAAAACCCTAGGATCCTTCGTTGCAAACGGTTGGTAACCGAACAGAACCTCCCCTGTCTTCACCTCAAACGTGGCATCATGGCTCCGGATCAGTAGATCGCGTTTCGCCTTCCCGTACTGCATTGGCACGGGTGGATCGATGCGGAGAGCTTCGTAGACGACGGATTTTACCAGCGGCATTTCTTCCTCGATCACCCGCATCCCGATTTCGCCGGCATTGGATCGGACGGC